TGGCAGTCAGTTGGTTTCCGTACCGGGCATGCGCTAGGAATACTCATCGAGGTCATTCCTGAATGCTGCTCAACACGGAGACCTTTTCAACCGAAATTAACTGCATACGTAATGAATAGACTTTGTTCAACACCTTGAGCTTGAACTAGTAATGAGCAATAGTGCAAACATAGCTTCCAGATACTGAAAAGGGAGAGGGAAAGTTGTGTATGTTAAGGTATTTTATGATAGCTTAATAAGAAATGAATAACGCGCATAATGTTATCCGCATAATTCAGCAAGCGCCAGCAAAAGAAATTGTGGATCTGGCAAAACAACTGCAATAACGCATCCACGTCCCGCCGACGGTGTAAGGCTGAAAACCATTCATGCGCAATTGCGAACAAGGAAGTCTGATACTCGCAATTGCATTCAGAATATTTATGAACGGTTACTCTGAATATATAAAATATATTTTATATCCGGAATATTTGTTCCTCCGAGGAAAGATCCCGTGGTAGTGTCAAATATATACAACACAACTGCCGAACAAACCCGAACGAACCGTTGGGCTGCTGCCTACACCCCGAGATCCAAAGTCAACGTTGTTCCAAAAAAATGCTCAGACATCTCAACAAAATCCACAACTTCGTACGAAGACGAACTTGTTGGTAATGCGGTGTATGTACTAAAAAAGAGCACCAGGTTTGCTCCAGCATGCATGATACCGAACGTAATCGAGGCCATGAAACCATCCTACCCAACTGGCCCTTAATGGCCGCATCTACGCTATCGGTGGTTGCAACCATAAAAGGAAGGTGATGACCAAATTGATGGAATTTACGACCCGCAGAGAAACGTATGGCAGTCTATGGCTGTGACTACCGCCTGCGATCGCTGGCTTTGCCAATTGCAGTCACCACTGTTTGTGTTTGAGGAAATGGCGCTCGTATATCCTGTCCACACAAATTGCACCAAAGTGTGCTTACTAAAAGTAACAGGCTCTGAGTAATATTTAAAATACTTACCGCTTGTGCCTTGTGCGCTGCACCGGGTTTCAAGTTGGGAAAGCAGTCGTTGTGGAAAGACATGAATATTGATAACTTCCTGTAACGTGCTTCCCAAGTTCCCATCGCAAAACTATCTGTTTCGATGACAACCTATCGAGGAAAAAATGTCGACATCAAAAATCCGGAACAGTTAAGAGAGGAAATTGAGCGGCGAAACTTATTTTGCGGGGCAGGATCGATTCGGTCAACGTTGTGCATCAACGAAAGGTGATCAGCGGGTCTGAAGGAAGCGATCGTACATGTATGCTACTTGAAGCTGGACACAGTCAGATAACAATGACCGGACTACGCTGCTTCGAATGCAATAGGTATGGACACTGTATCAGAGATTGTAAGACAGCAGATCCCCTTTTTGGGAAGTATAGTGAAGGTCATTTTCGTAAAGATTTCGCCTTAATGTTTTTCTGAAATTTAAACTCCTATGAGCTCACACCGCTTAAGCGCTTGGCAGCCATATATCGCAGGCAGACGCCGAGATACTTGCGGTCTTCTTCGTAAACGGTGCATTCTGCGCTTATATGAGGAAGTGGGAGTTGCAGGCAGGCTTCGTAATCCTCCGCGCAACCAACACTTAAGAAGTAAAAGGTGTGGAACGCTTCTGATTAAAACAACATGCAATGCTCCAACTAACTGCAAAGTGCCATAAAAGGAATAATATGCAAGAATGAATAAGACTCGTTCCGTTTCGACGCTACCGAATCTGCACATAACCAAAAACACCAAAATCGAATCCGCTACATAACTGCAGATTCCCGTCAACGCACTTTCATTGATGGAAGAAGCGGCAACGCTGGTAACGCGCTATGCGTAGTTTGTGCGTATTACGTACGTGTTATGACGTACGTGTTGCCTGTTCCGTTACGTACGATTTGCTGTTCTTATCTAGCGCATTGGATCGCTAATTCCATCCACGATTCTGGTTGAATTAATCAGTCTGAAGTTTCTAACTTCAACTAAATCTGTGAGCTTGTTTCTAGCTGAAAGGTCGTGTGACTCTAGGTTAGAAGGAAGTTCATATCTCGTTCTGTTCTGTTCTGTTTGCTTGTTCGTTCGGTTTGGTGATTAAACATTTGGGAAGTTCCTGAGTGTTTCGGTTTCGGTAACTTTCGTCAGGCACAGCAATCCGCTAGTACCTAGCGGAAGTAGGCAGTAGTTCCTCTTACGGAGTCCAGAGCATATTCCCACTCTACCGATTGAGTAGGTTTGGTCATCTAGTGCGGTTGTCGCGGTGCGACTTCCGCATAGCATGTCACTGGCCAAAGAGTCTCAGCTTATCAGTGGTAGTATCACCAATCCAGCTATTCGGGAATTAGTATAAAATTTTTTATGATTTTATTGCCATTATCGAATCAATCGGTCTGCAACAAATTTTGTTGCAAAGGAAAAGCGGAAAGAGTCGCTTAATGCGCTATGCGCACCGTTCCAAATCGAAACGAAAACGATGCAATGCCCTGCGGACTTTAACTTGACAACTGAATCCAGTTTACATGTGCAATTTGGAGACTGACAGAGTTACAGTAGTTTGAACTCTTTCTTCTATCCGCCCGAGCGGCCGAATTCCGCCATGTATTAAAACCTTAGAGGAAAAGTTCGGCCTGCAGGGGAACGGCCAGCTAGTCCGCACGGGCCTTGCCGGCACTATGCTAAATAAAATGTGCAGCGCACTGGTTATGCCTGCAACTACCGGTTCCCATACAACCAGCATTTGTAAACGCCAATTTCTATCCGATAATGTGACGTAGCAACAGTATAGTTGCCACCAGTTGTAGTACACTGTGTGCGGTCAGTGTGTGCTCAGAGGTTGTGCAGTAAAGTGCTAAGTCGTGACAGATAACTACTAGACAAGAACAAAATTAATTATGACGAATAAAGTATTGTAGCATTTTCTGTTGGAAGAAAGTGAGATAACTTCTGTAAACACACACGGAGGTAGCACCATTAAAACGCGCGTAGCACGCATTCAGCGGTGAAGAAGCAGGATCACAACCGGAAATGGAATCGTCACATCGGTACTTAACCTGGCTTATTTAATTTCAATCAGTTCCACTGTATAAATCAATGTATCGCACTGTATGTTCCACTGTATAGATCACTTGATCAAATCGCCAACCTCTGTGGCGGGCGGCTACATGAACAACTAGTGCAGGTTCTTTTTCTTTCATAGCTGTTCTTACTCTTTCAAACATACTCATATCAATAAATAAATAATTTCGAGTGTTATAGATGCAAAGAATTATATCTGGGACTTGAAATTGGACGACAATACCAGAAAACGACTTAGTGAAGGGCGCGTGCCTGGTGCCGTGTGGGAGATCTACCAGCCGGGAGATATGGCGAAAATTCGGCAATTCTTGGCAAAGCACGTGGGCAGCTTTCGCCAGAAGGGCGAGGATCCCCTTCACATTCAGATGTATTATTACGAGAAGTTAGTCTGTTACCTTTCCGGGAAGCTAATGATGTTTGCCCCACTACGATGAGTTGGAGATCGTCGCAGTAGCGCTACAAGAACTATGCAGCACTCCACAAGGTCACGGATACGGTCAAGCAGAAAATGGTGTTGCTACTCGCTTTAGGCGTGGCGGCGCAGGAAATTCTGTTTTCCATGTGCCTGCCTAATAGTCCAGACGGTTTCATTGCTGGCCAGCTGGCGGACAAACTGGAAGAAGCTTTCGTAAAAAAGACGCTGATGGAGTGGGCGCCGTATTTCCGGATCATACAGGAGCCTAAGGAAACGCTGCCACGGTGGTGGGATTCTCTGTGACAGTTCTGGAGCATAAAATGATGGTCAAATTAACCAACGGACAGGCAAACGAGAACACCAGGTTGCACCTCATTTCCAAGACGGGCAAGACCCTTCATCTAACACCAAAAGTGCCTGTAGATCTGCGGGCTGTACCACTTAGCCCGGACAACGAAGAAAACAATGGAAGTTGTGGATGCAGCGCGAGTGCGCGATTGGTGCGGCCCCTGTAAAGGTCATGGAACCGAAGGTCGTTCAGAAATGCCGAAAGGCAAAGAAGGCCATGGCGACAATTACCGCCACGGCAGGAGCGACAGTGCAAAGTGAAACCGTGAAGAAGGCGGAAGCGAGGCGGCGCGGTGGCTCTGCAATGGCGCCGGATATAAAGGTTGTGGAGGGTGCAACCACCGCAAAGCACAGTGCTTGGTAAAGGATCTGCGGTGCGGCAATTGTGGCAAGTACGGCCACATTGCCAGTGTGCGTCGCGCCGATCCGAAAGAGAAACAGCAGCAGAAAAAGAGCGTACCGCGTAACTATCTGGTAGATGAGTTCGATGTGTTGCAAGTCAACGTGGCTGACGATTTTGTTGGTGTTGGCGATATTAGCTAGAGCATAATGTGAGCAAGGAAAGAATTACGGTGGTCAAAGCTGAAGATAACTGCGATGCTCGGCGGAACGCTGCGATAGTCAATGACAGCGGGCATTTTGAAGTTGTCAATGGGGAACAGCAAGAGAGCCATGTTGTCGAGTCAGTTGGAAATGCCATTGAGACGGCAATGGAAACTGGTTCAAGCACTGAACAGCTTAAAACCCGTAGTCAGAAGAAACGGAAAAAGAAACTGATTGCAGAATTTACAGCAGAAAGATAATGGAAGTATTTTGGATCTGTTTTCTGAATAATTCGGTGCTATTTTCTGGAATTTTTCTTTTTAAAAACCGTGCATTTTTTAATGCGTTCTATACAGAGGACCTTGTTGCTAATTGTAATGTAGTGCAGTGGCTACGCGCCCTTGCGCGTAGCAACATTTACATATTTGTGACCTGTACTGGATGGGATATTCTGTAGTGTTCTTGATTATTATATTTAGTATCTATCCGGCCAGAGTGGCACAATAAACATCTGTGCCAAGACGTGACAATTGGCGTGAAGTGTGTAGTATTCATTGAACTTTATGTGGGAAGAGAGGAGTGAGCGATAGTTAAGCGTGACAATGGCGACTTCAACGGATCGACTGGCGAAGTTTAATCCGGAAACGATGGATTACAAGGCGTGGAAGTTCTTGTTTGATAATTACGTTGCCCTGACGGATCTTCATACCGATAAGCACCGCCCTTTGCTGATCAACAGCCTGGACACCAAAGCCTTACAGCTTCTCGTGTCCATGTGCAAGCCGAAAATGCCGTCGGATTTCACGTTAGGAGAGTTGCTGACGAAGCTGGAAACGGCATACGCGCCGTACACCAACCAGATCACGGAATGGGCACTATTCTTCAGCCTTCGCCAAGGTGAAAGTGAAAGCCTGGTCGATTTTGCGACACGGATGCGGGACAAGACCATCCTGTGCGATTTCCCTAGCACTGTCCTTGAAAAGAATTTGTGCGCTGTCCTAGTGGCGGGAATACGAAGCGACGCAACCAGGAGGTATTTGATGTTGTCGGAATTGAAAACATTCGACGCCGCCCTGCAGCTGGCCATCAAGTTTGAGACAAGCGTTAAGGAAGCCAAAAAGAATAATGTCGAAGAAGAATCGGTGAACAGAATTGCAAAGAGAGACGCTAAAGAGAAGAAAGACGAGAAAAGTGAACGCCGTAAAGAGACAAAGAAAGGAAGTGATGAAGAGGAAGAGAGCGAGGAAGAGGGCGCGTCCCGGCGCAAGTGTAAGCGGTGTGGTTCATGGCGTCACACACCGGATGAATGCTGGTACCGGAACACTCGTTGTAATCATTGCGGAAATAAAGGTCACATCGAAAGAGCCTGCCAGCAAAAGAGAAGTGAAGAACGAAAGAAGGATAAAATCAGCACGGTTTTTAATGTTGAAGAAGATTATTTTGATATTTTGCCCTGAAGTTTTTCACTTCATTTTTCCGGTGAAGGTGTAATGTAGTGCAGTGGCTACGCGCCCTTGCGCGTAGCAACATTTACATATTTGTGACCTGTACTGGATGGGATATTCTGTAGTGTTCTTGATTATTATATTTAGTATCTATCCGGCCAGAGTGGCACAATAAACATCTGTGCCAAGACGTGACACTAATAATATGACCTTGTTGCTTATATAATTATGAGCAACATGTACACCAGCTGAATAATTATGCTGTCAGTGTGAGTTGTGAAGAGCTGATGAATAAATGCACTTGTCGTGCCGCCTTGCGAAACTCTGTTCCTGTCCCTAAAAGACCAAATCGTTTCCGCGAGTACCGCGACCTTCCTTGTTCATTTCAACCCGCGAATACCATTGATCCTGGCCGCTGACGCGTCCCAACACGGCGTCGAGGTCGCGATTTGCCACCGTTTCCCAGGTGGGAGCGAACGCTCGATTGCCCAGGCTTCCAGGAACCTCACCCTGGCAAAGAATGTCTACGGCCAGCCTGAAAAGGAAGCCATGGCACTCATCTTTGGCTGCCGCACGTTCCATTAGTACGGGTGCGTAGCCGGGAGCAATTTCTCTATGTGTACTGACTATAAGCAGGTTTTCAGGGTCTTAGGCACCAACAAAAAAGTTCCGGTGGTAATGGCGACCGGCTACAGCGGTGGCTAAAAAGATGTGCTACAAAGATGCTGACCACAACAGAAAGCAACTGATAACGCTACCAGAAAACTTGGACAAGCAAACCAAAGAAGGGAATTTCAACGTGGGCGACTACGTGACGGCGCGCGATTACCGGCCAAGCCGGACAGCTGATTGGCAAAGAAGGCAGTTGGCTCACTGGGAGTCTCATGTGTTTGCTATCAAGACCTCGCCAGTGTAGAGCACACACTGAAGCGTCCAACCGGCAAGGAGCACGAAACCGCGTGTGCCAGCCAGAGCCATTCTTCTCTGTGCACATCAGCTTCGAACAAAATAATTATCTTTTTTGAACCAGCTTGTTTGGGAAACGATGCGCAGATCGACAAAGTGTATCTTGTAAGACTATTTTCAGTAATTCAACGGGCGACACATATTACAGTCTGCAGACCGCATAATATAGAATTACCTACGGTACCTAAAGGTCCACTGTGGGTGTTGTATGACGGGCTTGATAACGCTGAACAGGACAGTCTTCATCGAGGCGTGCCGACATAATAATTACAGTCGCCCGTTATAATACGTATGTGACAACATTTACGGGCGTTTGAACGTTCCTGTCATCCGGGTGCGCAGGAGGATCGTACTCATGCATAGATGAACAAAATGCTATTTTTTACGGGTAAAAGAAAAAATCATCTAATGAGTCGCTAGTGTACTAGTAAGTTTCATGGAGGTTATGTAGAAGCAATCAACGCGAATTTCAGCCCTTAAATATCGCAAAACTTTCGTCAATGATCGCACGCAGTTGGTAGATGGAGTTGCTAAGCAGCTTGCTGACCGACAACAAATTACGCATAACAGTGACTTTTCTTACAAAACAATATTATCAACATCTTATACTGTACCTGCCTAACACAATCGTTCGGCGTACATAAATTTCCGCCCTCATTGCGATAGAAATACAGATTGTAGCTCGTGTAGTTGAGAATTTAAATTGACTTGGAAACCTGTTACAGCATTGTCCCATGACGCATATTGAAAACTATATAGAATCTATATTAAAGAACGGAAATTAAAACCTTTCAATCAACAAAACCTGTAAGCACACATAAATTTGTTTTAGAAAAAATTGTTTTAAACGATGGAATTTAACAAATGGCTGATGCAGATCTACGGTGACTGTTACAGTGTTGCGTGATCTAAAATACACTTTACAGCTATTGAGCTACTCAGTAATCAGAAATATTGAGAGAAAGAAAGTTACAGAACCTGTTTGCTATTGTTTATGTCGAGACCGCTTGGCTATGGGGATCATTGCATCTGTCCCTGATGTGGTGCTTTTAAATGGTCACATTTTCCGCTTACTGAAAAGGACAGATAGAGATAGTAGTCACGTTGCGCAAACACGCTTCTCGTCGCAGTTGCTGGTAGCTCGTAGCTTTTACGAGTTTTATCCTGTCTGTGCTCTATCTACATCTAGATAGAGCACAGACAGATAAAACAAAAACTTGCACATTTCACAACGTCACTAGTGTCTGACGATGTATGTACTTACTACTTTGAGCTCTGGGTTAAAAAAAACTAATAGCTGCTCCGTTTATGACATTAGCTACGCGGAAAAATATCCAAAGAACTTACCACTGGACCTATGCCAAACACTTCTACAATAGTATTATACTGTAGTAGTAAAATTATCGATGTTAAATATTTCCAAACTTCTAGCGATATCACCTGTAGTACTCTTTATTTTTGCGCTTGAAACTTTGGTATTCTCTCCTTTTATTGATAGCTGATAACAAGTCTAACAACTAATACCACATATTACGTGAAACGCTATTATGGTAGTCGCCAGTTGGTTTCCGTTTTGGGCATACATTGGGAATGCTTTAGCGCACTCGTTCCCAAATGCTGCTCAACACGGAAACGCCAACCGAAATTTACATTACGCCATTGTTACGGGTGTTCGGCTACAACTATGTATATTCACAGCTAATGTTACCAGTAAGAGTTGACCGTACCTTACTTAGTATTTTCCGTACTTGAACATTCAAAATCATACGTAGCGTCCTTAAATACAAAACTGAAGAAACCACCACAAAATCGTGAACAACGTTTCCAAGCTAAAAAAAAAATTTCGCAACACACTGTTCATGGCATTGGGAATCCCAAAGACTTCATGCTGCAAATGCACAACGGATGCAAATGACCATCTTGAAAATACAGTTGACCATCCTTAGATCTGCGTGATCATCTACGCTGCACTTTGAGTCGTGGGACAAATAAAAACAGCTTGCACGTGCAGTTTGCAGACTGACAGAGTTAGTCTGATCTATTTTCCTCTACCCGCCCGCCCTTTGCGCGACCGATTTTGTATATTCCGTCATGTATTACAGCGATTAAGAAAAGGTTCGTCCTGCAGGGAAACGTCAGCTAGTCCACACGGACCTTCCGGACAATTGTGCTAAAAAGCGCAGCGCATTTTGAGCCTTTGTTTATCGGATATTCCATGGTCCCTGTCCCCCACAGCATAAAAAAGTAAGCATGCATGATGTATTCATCACTTACCCACTTCTGTGTTACAAATTTAATGTTACAATATTTTACAAACGGCGTTTGCACATCTGTTGGGTGCATCGCCGACAAAATGCTGCAACAAGAACATCATTACCGCCTCTGAACAATCGATCAGCGAGGGCTGCAAAACTTGGCAGGAGATTCGCGCCAACACGAATCACGGCGTACCGTCATTTCGGCATAGGGACATTTCGGCATTGGACACTTCGGCATTAGACATTTCGGCATAAGGACATTTCGGCATAGGGACATTTCGGCATACGGACATTTCGGCATAAAGTCTAGTATACTGAGAATATCTAATGATGGAAAGAGCAGAGCGGATAAATTAGAAGAAATTTTGTTACTGTAATATACTTTTTGTTGTAAAACTCATGCATGGTAACTGGCTTCTGCTAATAAAATGATGACCATGGTAAGAAACCTATAATATGCCAATGATTTGTACTCAATCTAAGAAAGTGGAGGGAAAACGCATAGAATTTCAAAAATTGAGAAAGTAAAAATCCTAAAACCTAAAAAACCAAAACATGCCAAAATGCGAAAACCAAAAGCCTTATAAAAATAATGGAATGCAGGAAGACATAAGATACAGTAGAAAACTTGAAAAATCGTATGTAAAAGTGCGAGGATTCGATAAAACTGAGGAACTTTAGAAAAACCAAGATAACCTAGAAATATATATAAACCTAAAAATCCTAAGAAACCAAAGAAAGCCTAAAAAACCTAAGTAAACCTATGAAAGCCTAAGAATCTTAAGAAACCTAAGAAACCTAAGAACCAAAAAACCTACGAAACTTAAGAAACCTAAGAAACCTAAGAAACCTAAGAAACGTAAGAAACATAAGAAAGCCTAAAAAAGCCTAGAAAACCTAAGAAGATCTAAGAATACACAAATCTAACAATAAAAAGGAGACATGAAAAACTGGGACCGCTTTTTAATTTGTTTATAGCAGGAATTTTAGTGACGCTGTCCACAGTACGCAGGTTGAATAAAGTAATTTAAACAGAAAACGTTAGAAACAACAGTATTGTGCGGAAATGTCCGTATGTCGAAATGTCCACATGCCGAAATGTCCTCATGCCGAAATGTTCTCATGCCGAAATGTCTTATGCCGAAATGTCCTATGCCGAAATGTCACTATGCCGAAATGGTCGGACACGCGAATCACTGCTTCGATCTACTGTAGTTGAGAATTTTAAGCCCGTGTTACCGCCGTTGACACAATAATGCGTAGTATCATTCGCGGGTTCCAAAAGGATCGAGCAATGGTGTGGTTCAGTCTGCAGGGAATTTGCGGTATCTAGAAACGTTTGGTGATATCACGCAGTTGGGCGTGCTTAGCGGACCAGCCGAAGTTGGCAAAGACTATGCATTCAGCTTCATCATGTCATCTGAGCTTTTCCTCATCCCCTTCTCCGCAAGTACCTTACCCACGCAGCGGTAGTGAATGTGGGTAAGCTACAGTACTTGTACAAATAACTTAATGTTTTTTTATCCGCGTAGTTGCTTTCCAAGTTTCCGTATGGACAACAGCGGTAAACCCTTGAACGATTCGTGGTGCCGTTTTGTAGACCACGTACAAAGTTTGGCAGAAAGTGGCAACCAGAGCGGTCTTGTTAAGCTGCACAACTGGCGACAGCCAGTGCAGAAATCCAAGATGAGCTGAGGCAGGTACCACCACTTAATTGTGCATACTGTAAAAAATATTGCTGTACCGGGGCATGCTATTTGAAAATAATGCGTGGGAATCACCATGAAA